TTATCATCTCATCAATCAGCAACAATACAATTTCACTATTCTATTGCGCGGTGGGTTTCACCGCATCTTACCATGGCTACTAGCATGTTGTGCTATATTAAGTTAGGTAAATCGTCGGCTGCTAGCATGGGATTGGTCGTGCTGAATCAAGTTAGGTAAATCGACGATGGAGTATCCTCCAATGTTGAGCTTGGAGGGGCACTTCTGATTTCTGAATATTGGTGGGGGGGCACACTTGCAATCCAAGATCGCAATCATAGTGTTGTAAGGCAAATTTACATAAAAGACGCAATGTCCTCGTTGGCACATTACCTAATTTGATCACGATGAGAATTAATTAAGTTTACTTTGACCAACTTCAAATGAATCCACTTCAACTACATGTACACACTTGAGAAGTATTTAAAAAAATATTGATCATATTTTTATTTAATTTCCTGTCCTTCCACGTTTTAGGGTTTCCATCTTCTATTAGTCAAAACCCCAAAAGATGTGATGTCCATGACCATGCCTCTCTCTCTCTCTCTCTGTCGAGACTTCAAGAAGTGCGTCCAAAAGCCAGGCCCGACGCAGAGACTTCCAAGATTTTAACGCCGACCTTCCCTTAAAAATGCAGATAATCCTATGATCCTGAACAAGCCAGACGAAAGAAGGGTCTCGACAAACAATGAAAATTCACGTAGAGATCCACCGAACGAATGCAGCAATTGCCATGTTAGGTTTTGCGGTACAAGAGATAGAAACTGTGTATACTGTAAGATGAACCTGATACCCAGTTTTGATGGAGGGTTTCGTCTAAAGACGTGTTTGTTCTGAGAACTTTATGCACGAACGGCACCAATTGCAGAGGCGACTTGGCGTTATGGACGGAACAAATCCTGCATTTTTCATGTTTTTGGCATGATAAGCACCGAGTTTTCGAATCTAGAGGAACACATTTGCGAAGTAGCGTGATAGGTTCATTGGCGTCATGTCAACTTGACACACGAAACGGTTGTTATATAAGATACTTAATTTCTCGCTCAATGGACACGGATTCGAAGTATTCCTTGGTGAAATGTATGAGAAAATTGAAACAGAACGGGACGTGCTCACATTTATTGCTGAACTCACCATAATTTGTCGCTACTATTTGTTGCTTTCAAACGCCTCTCAAAAGTCCCCGTTGGTCCAAAATAACAGGAAACTGTTATGTAGTGTAAAAGGAAAAAAAAAAATCCGCGCTTTAGAAGAAACTAAAAGAATTTGTGAAAGAATATGTTCCCGCAAAAGAAGTCAACAAGACGTCGCGGGTGTCGTAACCCTAATAGAGATTAACGATTATTTAGCAATTTAATTATACTATTTTTAAATGAATAACTTTTTTTTTATCGAGATTCTTACGCATGCTACACGAGCTAATCGATAGCTCTACTGCAATCATATCCGTGGACTTTTTTTTTTCTAGAGCTGACTTTCTATCCCCACGATGGAAACCTTCTCCAGTCGACTTTGGCGGATGACAAAGTGTCATATTTTATCCACCGAAAAAAAAAAAAGGAAACCCAAAAAAAAGGCAAGTGACAATGTGGTCTCTCGCCCACCTCCCGTGGAACCGAAGATTAGGACATAAATTGACACAATCGATATAGAGCTTCTTAGAAACAGCACTTTTGGAAAAAATGAGGCCTGTTGAATTGGATGACCTTTTCGACCAAAAAAATAAAAATAAAAATTGGATGACCGTATTTATTGGTGAAACAGAGAAGGAATTACCAAAAAAGTTTTAAACATATCGCATTTGTACCGATTCGGTTCTAAACCTTTCAATTGATCAATTCAATCGTAAACTTTCTGACGATTTGCCAATGTAATCCTTCCGATCAATTTTCGTCGGAAATCGCTGATGTAGATACCGGCCATTCTATGTGGCATTATCGACACTGACGTGGGCAACTTTTATAATTTTTAAAAAAATTTCTGAATTTTTTTAAATTTTCTGAATTTTTTTCATTTCTTTTTTATTTTTCGCTTTGCTTTTACCAAGTCTGGCGAGGGTTGCCGGTCAAAAAGCGAGGGTTAGGCTGGGCTCAGAAGAAAAATAGGAAAAGAAAGAAAGAACAAGAAAAAAAGAATAATAAAATTGTCGCAACGGCAATACTATATAAGATGGTTGGCGTCCCTACCAGTGATTTTCGATCGAAATTGGCCGAAATGACTACATTGACAAATCGTCAAAAAATTTACAATCGAATTAGCCAACTGTAAACTCGACCAAAAAAAAGAGAATTATTCAAACGTAAAGATTTCTGACTGAATTGACACGAATTCATTAGGTGCAGGACTTTTTTTTGGCAATTTCCCTTGAAACAGAATATCGTCATTCAGCACACAAATCACTGTTCCGACATCGTCTTTTGAAATAATGTTTCTTTTTTCAAATTCCATCAGTGTACAAATTAATTCTTTTGCTAAAGAAGAAATTAGATAGGGGAATCTATTCTCATGATGATTAGGAAAGATGTCCTTGCACCGAGTTGCGTACAAGTCAAATGACACTCAAAAGGGAAGCTAGAATTCAACGTGCCCTCACCTAAAACTTAGTTTCCAATGCAACTCCATCAAAAGTCCACCATTACCGTTGGGACACATGGCATTTTCAAATTGACGGACTTTTTAATATTAAAAATACATAGGTGATAAATATCGAAGTAATTTTGTCGACAAGGTTTCATATTTTTTTTTTTTTTGGCCTCTCCTCATCTCGCTGTCTCAATTGCGAAATTTGCTAGATGTGCCGAGTGCATGCTTTCTAAATTCATCTGGAACCGTTCCAAATTGAATAATCTTGACCCGTTTAAGGTTCTCTACTCAATCTTAAACCTTGTTCTCTTTTGTGCACATCTAGAATGCGGGCGTGCCTTAAGTTTAAAACGCGAGTTTGTTTCGCTTTCGGGGTACCTTATGCGATTTTGCCCTTGGATAAAATTTCTTCTACTCGCAATATATGGCAAAAGAGCAATCTCCTATTTTGTGGAGCATTTTCTCTTTAATCAACTTACCCTGAATCGCATAGAATCCTCATCAACTCTTCGTATCTTTCGGAAAAAAAAAAAACTCTTATGGGACGGATTGCTGCCGAATTAAAAGCTTTTTTATACTCCATCAATTTGTGGGGGCAAATTACTTAACAAAAATGATTCATCATTTTTTTAAGGAAAATTCAATGAGGGCAAAGCTCAATTTTAAGGCTAAAGAAATCGGGTTATTATTGAAATCTCTTCAAAAACTTCAATTATTTCGTTCTTCCATGAAATCGAGTTATTGTTACATGAGAAATCATAAGAGGTTAATCGATAAATAATGGCTAGAATTTTTTTATTTTTGGGCTCGCGACGAGTAGGATGGAGGCACTCGAAAGGGGCCTCTAGGATCAGATGCAGAATCCGAGTTGGGCCCTTACCTCTTCTCTTCCTTCTCTCCAAACATACAAACACTTCAACATAGCTCATTATCAAAAGATAACGGTTACATCGCGCGCATGATCCTATTATCGAAGCTAATCTCGATTTATGCCTTGTAAAACATTATATTATGTAAAAAAAATTTATCTATTACTGCCTAATTTTAAAAGCCTTTTTATACTCCATCAATTTGTGGGGCAAATTGCTTGCACTAATGAGTTGTCATGTTTTTTTTTTTTAGGGAAAATTCAATGGGGGTAAAACTCGATTTAAGGCCAAAAAAATTGGGTTATTATTGAAAACTCTTCAAAACCTTCAATTCAATTATGTTATGATAACTCTAGAGAAATGAGTGGGGGCAATCCAACCTATACGTCCATCCCTCTCCACAATCGTTCACAAATCATAATTTTTGTACAGTAGAATTAATTACATCCTATTGGTGCCTTCTTCGCGAATCTCATCCATGGAAGAATTTGCAAAGTGTTTTGAAGCCAAGAAATTCTTGTCATGAGAAAGTATTTTTGTGCATTCTTTCATGAAATCAAGTCATTGTTACGCGAGACATTGTAAGAGATTAATCGATAAATAATGACTAGTATTTTTTTAATTTCGGGTTCGTGACGAGTAGGATGCAGGCACTTGAAAGGGGCCCCTCGGATCCGATGTAGATTTCAAGCCGGGCCCTTAAACTCTTCGCTCCCTTCTCTCCAAGCATAGCAAACACTTCAACATAGCTCATTATCGAAATATAACGGTTACATCGCATGTGCATTGTGCACGCGATGACAATGCCACATCCTATGATTGAAACTAATCTCGAAACTAATCTCCATATATCTTTAAGTCAAGACAATCTTTTCGTCTCGTTTTTTCCTAAATTACCCCTACATAAATAACAAAGATTAACAGTTAAGTTAGGAATAGGGACTCTCGATAGTTTCTTATTTTAATTTTGCATGTACTTTATTCAATCTTGTATTGGGGCTCTGTTGTCACCTGTTCCTAGACTCGGGAAGGGAAGTTTTGTGATTTGGGCCTGCAGATTTAGCCCATTATCATGTGACAGAATCGGGAAGAAGCTGATGTAACATTTGACTTGGTCAAAGTACAGCAAGTAGACAACAGCTTTTGCCATCGAAAATGATTCATGCCCTTATGGTTCTTGCTACCCATTTCGATGCTTTGTCATTCTGACCATTGCCTCAAAATGGCAGAAGTTAAGGTCTCAGCAAACCTGCTTACAACACGCATGCGATAAAGTATTTGACGCCCGAAATGCATTCGAACTGTCAGATCCGGTAGAATTCGTGCGAGACGTATTATTTTCTGTGATTCAAATGCATTTTAACATGCGTTATCTCCTGATATTGTATTATGATTGGTCGAGCCACTGTCATTCTCAATGGAAGGGCCTGCAGAAGAAAGGGAGCACCGGATGGATGAGGCTAAAACAGCACGCCACATGGACAAGGGCAATTCGGATATCCACCACAAGTTCAGATTCTGAGGAAGATAAATATCCACAATCTCCATTTCAAGTGGCCCCATCAACCCTAGACCCCCAAGTGTGCACGAATATCTCCAGAAAACATACTAAATAACGCACCAAGAAACAGAAATACTTGTTGCCAAATTTCTTGATCGTACAATCACAAGACAAGTACAACAATTCCACTTCTTGCACCACAGTTGTAGGATCCAAGTGCTGCATCTGCTGATTGAAGCTTTGGAGATAAGAGAATAGGAAGAAGAAAATGGCTGGTTTAACTTCAGTCACACCCCATCCAGCATCTTCATCTTCTTTGCACTCCAATTTCCAGTCCTCGCCTCTCATTTTCGCTCCAAAAACCGCTCATGAGCATGCCTCCTGCCGCGCCGCACTCGGATCATTCAGGCATTCCCGCAGGAGCTTGTCGACGCGATCCGTTCCGGGTGGGCTAAAAGTCATGAATGCAGCGACAAAGCTTGCAAAGTCACCAGGTACTAATACTGTGGCTAGTTGGCCTCCCAATTCCTTGGTAATATTAATATTTACTGAACTAAGTGAATATGTCTCAGAAGTATCATGAACTCCTAGCCAGTTAGCTTCACCAACTCAAACTGATTTTTCTCTAATTTATTTTGAGGGATCAGCTGAAGAAGAGTGGAAGGTGAAGAGGGAATTGCTGCTCCAGAAAAGGGTCTCTCTCTCTCTCTCTCTCTCTCTCTCTCTCTCTCTCTCTCTCTCTCTCTCTCTCTCTCTCTCTCTCTCACTCTCTCTCACTCTCTTGCGTATATAGACTTGCTCATTCATGTATGCATGTGCTTGCCGAGTTAGGAGAACAAGGTCTGTCCATAAGATTGAGTGGACGGTCCATCTGATAAGAATTCTCATGTCTGTTTGATCATCCAAATGACTTATACGAACTTGACCTTAGAAATAGCCATCGAAAAGAAACACTCTTTGAGTGGATGTGATCTCAGTCCTAATTGTTTCCTACCGCCAGATAGACACTTTTCTTGCTTACAAATGTCTGGAGAAATGTCCAACGAAGTAAATGCCACAGAGGACATAAGTTATCAAGTATTGAATAGAGAGATTCGAAGCAAACTATGGATTTGCTTGAGCATAGAAAGAAAGTTTAAGGGACCCTTGATCCAGAACGCGAATTAGCTCTGAAATTACGCTGAGTATCTTGTTTCCAGGTAAGGAGTGTGGATGTGAAGGAAGCACTGCGCCTTCAGCAGGAAAATAAATTCGTAATTCTCGATGTACGACCTGAAGCAGAATACAAGGAGGTCAGCTAGTCAATTTGCTATCCATCGTCTGAATTTTCGCACGACTACGAGATGGAACAATCGGACATGCTAAATTAAAGAAATCGTGTGTTCGTTTTTCTGTGGTAGACTCATCCGCCGGGGGCTATAAACGTGCAAATATATAGGCTCATCAAGGAATGGACGGCATGGGACATCGCGAGGCGAGCTGCATTCGCCTTTTTCGGCATCTTTGCGGGCACGGAGGAGAACCCAGACTTCATAACAAGTACAGCATCGTTGCGCCATCTTGCTTTCGAATGTTTTTGTGTTGCGAAAGATGTGAGATTGATCTTCTTAACCTACTGTTTGTGCTGCAGCTGTGGAATCGAAAATCGGTAAAGATGCAAAGATAATCGTGGCTTGCTCAGCCGGCGGCACAATGAAGCCATCTCAAAATCTTCCTGAAGGTCAACAATCAAGGTAATCATGTTATAGTCCTCCAATTACCCTTTGTTGCCTAACGAGGGAATTGCATTGCATAATTTCAAGTCACCGTTCGCTTAACCATTAGTATCTGTTGCCTAATATGGAGATTGTTCGATAGTTACTCATCAAGCTCCTCCTTGCAGATCACTTATAGCAGCATACCTGCTGGTGCTCAACGGCTACGCGAATGTCTACCATTTAGAAGGGGGCTTGTCTACATGGTTCAAGGAGGGACTGCCGGCAGCTTCTGATGAGTGAAAACACGAGCATCGTATCGACATTTCTTTGATCCTTCTCATTCAGGAAAATCGCAAAGGATGTGGCGGGGAAAATCGCAAAGGATGTGGCGGTCGATGAGTACTTCGACGACCATGTAAACAGACAGCTTGATCATTGATATCTTGCAGACTACAAGAATGCATCTCCAATCAGAAGATTTTTTCTACCGATATCTGTCCCAAAATGCATCTAAGTAAAACAATTCGCGCTTCTTTGAATCCATTCTATATGTGTGGCAAAATGAATATAGCAGGAGTTGAAAAATGCATAGATTATGCAATTTTCTTGTGTGTGAGAGATGGCCAAATCTCCCCCGACATTACTACGCAACATAGAGCATCTATCTTTGGCAAAAAGAAAAAGTTCATCAGCTCTATGGCCAAAGAGGATCATAATCATTATCGAAAAAGAGAGGTAAAAAAGATGCTAAAAGTTTCAGGCGCACCGTCTAATCAATTATCGATTGCGCAAGGTGAAGTCGTAACATTTGCAGAGATTTGCATGTGCCCAGAATTGCTGGACACTTGATTCCTAGAGTCTAATAGGTAAATACATCGGCCATTCTTTAGTAGTTCATGTCTACAATTCACCACATTCGCCAAGAACATCGCATCAGTATCAAGCCGTTGGAGTCGACGAAAGCCATGCAAAACTAATGGTCCAGTAATATAAAATATATACGGGCAAGAAGCAATGTTAAAACAAGGCTACAGAATATATCAAGGACCAGAAAACAGAGAAGCTGATAATGACCAATCAATACATGTTAATGCACTAAATGTGCCATTTTCTGCAAATTAAGTCCAAACGCCATGGAGTATATGCAGTTTCTGTGAAAGCAGCAAGGAACCTAGTGCAATACCAGATCATTATTTACGACACTAACTGGTAGATCATCCATAGTAAAGCCACCCAGTCGTCCTCTTCATCCCTGCAGGAAACCGCAGCAACAACACCAAAAACAAAGCCGTGATAGAGCTGGTATAACAATCAGCAGTTGCCACTTACAAGCCAAAAGTTGTCTGTACCACTATTGAATCCTAAACTTCGAAGGCCTTACAAGATGTCACAAGGCAGTCAATTTCCTCTTTCAATAGACAAATTCTGTGCTGATTTTCTTGGATCATGATGACGTCTCTTGTAACCTAAATATTGTGATTTCCTGCTGCTTAAAATACCGTCGATCTTCTTCGTCGACAAGAACAAGGTTCAAGTAGTACTTCACGCTAAACTTGTTGTTGACATTCCGGTAGGTTGGCGTCAATTCATAAGGACTAAGAAACAATCTAATGGGTATAGATTCACCTGTACAAGCAAATACATGCTTATGAGCCATTGCATCAAGTGCTCATCATAAGCAACAGGTCTATAGCATTCAAAGACGAGACGAGAAAGACACCTTCCTTAATAATGATGACGTTTCATACAACACGACATGAGAGCATAGATGTTTGGTAGTGTAATACAAAACCTCAATTTTTGGTAGCCATACCTCTGACAGGAGCACCATCCATAAGTTCAAATTTAGCGAGGGTTTCTGTCTCAACATGGGTATTTTGGCCTGAGCCTGTTGATTCTCGACGCCTGATCTCGAGATCCATGTTTTTTATCTTGATCCTCACGAGAAGAAAATATATTTTTCCAATAATGACATCTTTCAGGTGATACCTGCAACACATGCAAATTGCAGTCAATGAAAAAGTTCCTATTCGGAATGAGAAAACAATCCCCGTTTAGACCAAGAATCTGCCATGTCTACATACTAAAAATGTGATGAAGGACAGGTGATCAAGATAATTAATCTCACAGTAAAACAGATTGTGTCAGTGCACTCTCCTATATAAAAAAAATGTTTTGCATCTCAGAATACCACAAAGCAAAAAAGGTACAGTAAGATCTTAAAGGAAGAAGGGAAAAAAATGAACTCACTTGCTTTTATTGTACTCAAACTCAATGTGTAGACAATCTTCAATTCCAACTTCCATCTGCACGACACAAAAATTACAATATAAATTGAGAATTTTGAGAAACAATTTTTACAATGAAGCGACTATGCTTCATTGTAAAACAAATATCCTATGCTTCTATCGTATCCCCATATATAGAAAAAACTATGACAAAATTAGAGGCATGTTGAAAACAATAGAGTAGTGAATGGCTATTTAAATAGAGCATCGCTCCCACCTTGATACTATTGTTTATTGATGGTGGTGGAGAATAATTTCGCACCTGATGAAAACAAGACAACCATAAATCAAGAACTATGAGATGCCATAATGGACGGTAGTTGTAAATGTGAAATAGTAATCAATTATTAATATCAGAGCAAAGAGTAAGTTTACCACAAAATCCTGGTATTCTACAATGCTACCAGCATAACCACGGTTGATTGTTACTTTCAGGACATACCTGGAAAGAGTGGACGAGAAAAAACTAAAACAACTCCATACATGCAGATCAAAGACTCCTTTCATTTAGAATGGACAACCGAAACCAACAGAAGAAAAGTCGAGGCATTAAGTCAATCATCACGGCACTCATTCATATAAATTGACTGACCAAACTATGGCCTTGTCGGAAACAGATTTTAAAATAAGGAACCTATGAAGCGGTTTGAGATTGTTATCGACTTGGTCTTAGCGACAGCTCATCACTCGTCAGCATGAAGCAAAAGCAAACACATCATGAGTACATATACAGATGCTTAGATATGTGCATGAAAATGCGTGCACATGCATAGAGCTGAAAGCACTAAAGAGGACACCAGAAATATAGAACAGGTCAAGTTGCCTCATAAAAGATAGTGTCAGATCATGTAAGGAAATTGTTTGGAATTCCTCCATGAAAACCAAATTTCTCCACACAGAATTCAGTACAGCACTTACCTAAGCCTCACGTGAACTCCATTATATGTCTCATAAGGCATTTCAACAGTAGAAAATTCAAATGCGTATGTTTTCCTTTCATATAATTCACCAGGGACATCCAACTCACGAACTGCAAATGAAAGAACCCAAATAAACATCATATGATAATAACAAATGAATCACTACCCATAAAACAACACGGTAGTTAACATGTTGCATCAGACAAGCCTAAAGTGAAACTCACCAAGAGAAGTGAAATCATAGAAGTTCCCTCTGTCAAAGTACATCTCTGAAACGTAAAACAAGATCGATCATTCAAATATACTGGCCACAAATGCCAATGTTGAACTGTCTATGACAAAGAATCATCAAGAAAATAAGGAAGATAGAAGGAAGTTATCATGCACAATTGAATATACAAAGCATAGAGTAGGCAGTTTCTCTTTTCCACTCGGAAAAGCTTGCCATTAATAAAGCCAGAAACAATACTTTCAGCACTAGCACCAACTATAAAGATGTATGCGACTCCCCACTCTGAACAGCACCAGACTAGCGCTAGCATCAACTAGAAAGATGTATCCCTACGACTATTACTAGTTTCCGTCAAAGCATTGGATTGAATTTATGGCATTGATCTTGATACAAAACAACCTTAAAATCATATTCTTCGTAAGAACCTTCTCAATACAGTAAAAGCAACAATCACTATGGATCAAAATAAAAATTTGCCAAATTGTGCAATGTCAACTACAGCAATTCAAAAGCATGACAACTCTCCAACCAACCAGATCGAAAGTACAAGATAAGAGCAATTATACAATCCTTTAGTGTCAAAAAAGAAAAAGACCTGTAGAGTCACACATTCACTTTCGTTATCCTGGAGGAAAATTGAACTCCAACACAGAACGAAATCCTCTCTTAGAAATTACACGAGAACTATCTTTAGAAAACCAAGTATCAAGCCACTCAAATTGTAATTACAGCAGATTTTAGAAGACAACTTCCACTTGTGGGCACTAGAGATTGTCTATTTGATTTACACCATGCATCATTTTACAAATAACTCAATTAAATTTAGATAACAATGTCTCTCATCAACAATGAGAGGATTCACGCACTCAAAATTCAAATAATAAGACCATGCACAAAAACAACAAAGCCAAAAGCTACTGCATCCAGCAAATAACAATTTTGAACATATTAAAACGAAAACACAATGACATGCAGGTGCTTGAGCCGAAGAGTAAACTAGTAAAAACAAAGTCAGATTCAGCTATTTGCTTGCAATGGAGAATGCGCTCTTTGATCATCAAATAAGGGGCATGAAAGTCAAAGGAATAGAATTCTCAAAGCACCAGAGCATAATTCTAAGATCACGTTGTAGCTGGAACTAACCTATCTGACCCAGGAGTTCAACTTTTACACCATTGTGTTCAACCTTTTTCCCTTGAATTGGTTCTATTGATACCTGGATGACAAAACCAATCGAAACCATGTTTACATGAAGCTATTTTCCACAAAATAGTGGGTGTTGCAATACTTGGAACTGAGTACAAACACGGAAGAATACCTTGCCAGTTATATTTTCTTGACTTTGGAATAGCGGGACCATGACAGTTTGGCCATTTTCCTTCTTCATAGGAACCTATGAGGAAGCAAGAATTATAGAGATATTGCATGATATAACCCTTTTGTGTCAACTGTGATGCACTTATGACGAAGACGGTGATGATGAAAAGATAGCTGACAACTAATCTAGATTTAGGAGAACAGAAAAAAGAATAGGCGCCTGTGACTAGTAGAGTCTAACAATCCTGCAAGCTCGAGGACTGCTGAACCAAATTAGAAGACTTCAGGCACAGTACCAGTGATAAGATGCATAATTACCGTTTGCACAATACTTCCAAAGACGGACTTTTGTTCTGCTGCTTATGCTACATTTCCAGTTGGCTTTGTATTTAATGGTTTTTCGCAGACTAGAGCAACTAATATCAGTGCGCATGGATCTATCTATCAGAGAACGGCCCGACAAAGGATAAAGATCTCGAAAGTTGGAAACTATTTTGATAACCTTTTTCATCGAGTAAGGACAGTCGGACCACTTCCCAGTAAAATTCGGTCGAACAGTAGAAGACTCGGATTACCTGCTTACGGGTTTTCCCATCGGCAAATGTGATAAAAATGTTGCATGACGGTTTAAATGCTCCAAGAAGATAATTCTGAAAAATAAATAGAATTATCATGAACATGCACAACATAGTATTCCACACTCCGTCAGAAAATAAATCAGAACAATCCTCAGATCAAAGATTCCGCGGATTGCTAACCATATTGTAGCTCTGTTAGTCCGCAAACAAGCGCTACCACTCAAACCTGGGAAAGAAAAGAAAGCAGCAAACACAATTTAGTCGCAAGAACTGACAAAGGGAAGAACACACACAAATGAGAAGAAAAAGGAGACAGAGAAATCAACACACTTGAGGAAAAATCATGCCAGAGGACGACCCGCATACGATACTCAATCTCATACTAGAAATGATTGGCGGGTACGGCGTGCAATGTAAGGACGCATTATCAAATTTCCAACTTGTAGTATATAACCATACACCTTTCACATTCTCCATCACACAGACATATATCGTAGCTGATCGAACGATGTCGAACGATAAACCGAAGAAATCAAATCAAACGAGCGACGCAAATCGAATTCCGAGACCACCTCTCAAATCGCCAACACTAGCGACAATAAATTTGCACCCGACGAACTCGAGAATTAACAAGCGAAGTACCTGGAGAAAGAAAATCAGGCCGCGAAGCAGCCCCAGCACACACGCCCCTCCTCCGTCCGTCACCGAAAACCAACGCCCGCCCCCCCAAACGAACACGACACGCCGATGTCCCCCGCAGGTCAAGCTCGATGGCTACTACGACCGAACGAATTTCCCACAACATGCGACGAATTCAAAGCGCTTCAATAATCAACGAGCCGGTTCCTCAATCGACAGGGAAAATTCCCAACGTCAAAGCGATCGCTAAATCGGCGTACCTGGGAGGCGGAGGCGGAGGCGGAGGCGGAGGCGGAGGCGGAAGCGGGAGCGAATTGCGGATGCTCGGAGATTCGCGAGGCTTCTGCAGAGGAAACGAAGCGAACCGGATCGTCGATCTGCGCAGGGCTCTGGAGGACAGATGGAAACGAGGAAGGAGGGGAGGGGGGAGACAGGACCGAAGACGACGACATTCGCTGGCTTCGGGGTGAGGGGAGCGGGGGAATCGGCAGGTGCTCCGCACGTGACCCGGGCGTGGCTCTGTGGGCCGTCGGGCCCAACTTAGCCACCGTGCGAACTGGCTTTGTGGGCCTTCGGCCCATTTATCCACCCTGGCGAACGGCTTAGTGGGCCGTTGGCCCATTTGATCACTCGATCGAGACTCTTTATATCGTGCATCGAGTATATCGTCTATCATTCACAAATACATGGCTAATTTAAAAGTGGGATAATGACATAAACATTCACTGAACTTTAACTCAATGTGCAATTTAGTCTCTGAACTTTTAATTTGTTCAATGTGGTCAATGAACTTTAGTCCAATGTGTATTATGGTCCCTGAGTTTTTAATCTGTTCAAAATGATCCCGAAACTTTTAATACATATTTAATGTAATCCCTGAACTATATAAAAATATTCAATGCAGTCCCTGAACTTGATTCAATGGAAGGACTGCATTAAACATCTTCATATAGTTTAGGGACTAAATTGAACATATACCAAAAGTTTAGGGATGATATTAAATAAATTAAAAGTTCAGAGACCACATTACACATTGGGTTAAAGTTTACAGAATTACAATAAACAAATTAAAAGTTCAGATACCATATTGCACATTTAGCAAAAGTTCAGGGACCGTTTGTGTCATTTTCCCTTTAAAAGTAAAAGTAAAAGTAAAAGGAACTTTAAATTAGAGGCGATCAATGGACATGCCGATACAGGACTCTTTAGTTAGTCCCTAATTCTTTTGCCTGCCCAAAAAAAATAAAAAATCATGTGCCAATATAAGTCCAATTTGATTGGACTTTATACCTAAATAACCTCGTCCAAAAGTTTTTTTTTTTTTGGTCGGGTCGATGCGACTTGCGAGGGCCTGTGGACAACATGCCTATGATCAAATCTGCTCCGAAACATGCCATTATTCCAACCCTTACAGTATCACATCACTCACTGCTTTTAAAAGAAAGGTACCCGTGTGTTTAGATACTTCGGTTGGGTATTTGCTCTCTAAGATACTCCGTCTACTGGACGGAGTTTGCCACGTCATTGTTCTTATTACGAGTCGCCATGTCACGTCACTCGACACCGATTATTTCCAAACTCATGGTTGTTTTTTTAGGCTCCAATATGACCGAACATAATTGGAAAATAAGCTGTCCCCGCGATCCAAGGTCGGGTCGAAAGAAATGTGCGATGTCGCCCGTCAAACATGGGGTTTCGTGCAGGGCGTCGCGTTGACAAAAGTGGACATCTCGAATAAATTCTCCCCTCCATCATGGTTTTGCCAAATTAAGGTCATGAGAAAAGTCAGACATAAATGCAGGAATTGTCAAAGGCATCATCGATCGTTTTCAACGCCTTCATGTACAAGAAAAGGATCTGAAGTTTCCCCCGATAACCAAATGTCTCCGAACCCTTAGGTCACTTCCAAGTGCCGAAGAAGAAAAACGAACGGTTTTCATTGCTATGGACGGATTATACAAAGATCAAGCAATTTCACTTATGATTTCTTTGGCGAAAAATAAGAAATAAACATTAATTTCCTAGTTATACATCGATGTTAAGTCTTCTCGTGATGAGACGGCGATTTGATGACCAAAGAATAGGGCGAAACGCAAAATCGCTAATCGCTGTTTCCGTGAGGTTAGCCCGTTTCAATTCGAGTGACCAATTTCGAACATCCTTCAACTTTGGCCATCGTGCTTCGACCCTTCCTTCTCGCCGGAGCTCAGGTCCATGGAATTGTCTCTCCTCCTGCTGCCCAACTTCAGAAGCCCGTACAGCTTCCCGAACTCCCTGACCGTGTGAACGCTCTCCCTACAGAAGACCGAGGCGGGCTCGGCGGTCTCATTCCCGCCCCGCCCGGACCGGCTACCGGTCAGCGTCGCCCCGTCCTTGGTCGCGGCTCCCCGGCCCTCGCTGCTGCTCTGCAGGGCGCCGATCACGGTCTTCAGGGCCCGGGTCGGGGAGGACCGGTTCGCGATCATGATCTCGCCGATGTGGGCCGGGCTCAGCCTCGCCCCGGCCTGGAAGATCTCCTCCACCTGCGGGAACAGCTTGTGCTCCTTGAGCCCCAAGTAATTGCTCGCCAGGCCCTTGAAGGCGGAGAAATCGCATAGGGGGAAGTGCACGTGGACGTCTATGCGGCCGGGCCTCGTCACCGCTTGATCGACCCGATCCTTGCCGTTCATCGTGAAGACCATCACCCGCTCCTCCCCGCAGCAGGATATGATCCCGTCCATGAAGCTCAGCACGCCGGACAAGCTCACGTCCGTCGGCTTCTTCTCCAGGAAGCGGTCGAGGTCCTCGACGACGATCACCGACCGGGCCGTCGTCTGGAGGAGGAGGGCCTTCAGGTCGGAGTCGTCGGCGACCCGGGAGAGGTCGACGTCGTAGATGTCGTACCCGAGGAACTTCGCCAGCGCCGCCGCGAAGCTCGACTTCCCGGTGCCGGACGCGCCGTGCAGGAGGTAGCTCCGCTTCCAGACGCGGCCGAGCCGGTGGTAGTACTGCTTCGACTTGAGGAAGCTCTCGAGGTCCGACTTCACCTTGCTCTTCAGCTCCGGGTCCATCACGACGGTGTCGATCGTCGCCGGGTGGGTGAACGGCACCGGCCGCCACCGCGGGCCGCCGCCCTCCCCGGGCCGGCCGCCCCCGTCGAGGTTCATGAACAGCCGCACCTCGTTCTTCTTCTGCTCGATCTCGTCGGAGACCTGGAAGACGTGCTGCAGGTAAGGCTGCAGGACGCGGCGCTTGTCCTTCTTCCTGATCTTCAGCACGAAGGCCCGCCGCCCCTCGGGCTCGCCGCCCTTCTCGTTGGCCCACGAGACCCGGGCGCTGAGGAACCGGTCGGCGACGGCCTGGTCGGAGTCGAGGCGGAGGACGATGTCGTTGGAGCGGGCGCCGGAGAAGAGGTTGGTGTGGTGGGAGTCCTCGAGGGAGGGGAGGGAGGTCAGGTAGGTGGAGACCTTGCGGTAGAGCTGGTTCTCCTGGAGGTGCTCGTTGTGCTGGGGGATCTTGTAGTACTGGTACACGTAGCACCGGTCCTCCACGGATTGGAGGAGCGCGGCCAATTTGTGCAGGAGCGAGGTCCTGTAGAGGAGGCGGAGGACGAGGAGGGCGGCGGGGAGGACGGCGGCGGCGAGGAAGAGCGCGAGCTCATTGTCCAGGCCCATCATGGCTGGACGGGTGACGGGTCGATGCGATCACGAATTGGGACGACGCAGGACGAGATTAACGGGGGGGGGGGGGGGGGGGGGGGGGGGGGGGGGGGGGGGGGGGGGGGGGGGGGGGGGGGGGGGGGGGGGGGTGGGGGCGGCGGGGGGGGTGGGCGGTGGAGGCGGCGGCGGGCGGAGGAGGGTTTTATGGCGATGAAGGGGAAGGTAAGGGGGAGGTAACGAGCCGGCACCACCATGAATTGGTCAAAAAAGCCTAACAGAGAGAGAGAGAGAGAGAATTGTAGGAGCAGCAGCGGAGGTAGCTGCTGGCTGGCTGGCTGGTGGTGATGTTTGGCCCTGGCCGTCAATGTACGACTCTTGACCTTTTTGTTTGACCTTCTTCTATCTTCATTTTTATTTTTTATTTTTTTGGGAAAAAAAACCGCACAAAAAAAAAAAGACCTTAAGTTACACGCGCGTTGCCCGTTTACCCTAAACTTTTTTTTCTTGTGACCTAAGAAAAATCCCAAAATTATACTTATGCGGCACGTTTAATCTCGGTCGAGTTTTTTTCTTTTTGCAAAGTTCCGTTAGATGATTTTTCGGCCAAAACAAGATCGTTATTATTTCAATTAAGTCGCGTGGGCGCCGCCATGTTAGCATTTCCACGTGGGTAGATTTCTAACGGTTCTTATTGGCGGAACTTTGACGGATGGTAACTGTGCCACACGAGTTTGGGATTTTTTGTGTGACGGACTAAAATTAAGGATAAATGTGTTACGGCTGGCATAATTTAAGATTTTTCGTGACTTTTGCTTTTTCTTTTATTTTTATTTTTTTTTGGCCACGACGTGATCTATTTCTTCAAGGATTCTGGTGAAACATTACCATCAGCGCGAGTTAACGACTAAATAAAAAGCTTCCAATTTCAATGGTTTGTCATTCTTTAGTTACCTACAGTCTAAACTTTGAAAATTGAAGTTCCCTCTACGAACCGTGTTTCGTTAGTGCCTCGACAACATTCGCCATTGTTAAGTCGTTATCGCCAATTAGTTGTGGGATGAAGCCGGCCGCGTTCGAGACGACAAGATTCCCGTCGAACGGTAGAAAGAGAGCTATGCCAATAAGCTATCAAATTGATGAACCACAGACTTATTGTAAGTTACAAGTAGACGTTTACATAAGCAAGTCGTATGTAACGTTCGATAACAATATATCGTGTCGCTTGATAAGTTGACATACCGATGTTATAAATTAGTTTTATTATACTTAATATTTCTCCCATAAAAAAAAAAATTCTCCAAGACATTGCTTACATTGCCATAGGGTCGTGCTTCGTGGCTTGTTCGTATCCCGTCATTGTTTTATATCACGAACTTATGCAACAATTATTTTATTTGATTTCGAGATGACGTTTGACACAACATTCACTGCAGCAAAGTATAAGTTGAAATAACACATATTCTAGCTCGTACTGGAAAAACAGAGAGCACGTGTTGAATATGAAGAGAAATTCATAAAAAAAAATTAATTGATAAAAAAATTATTAATATTACAAAAAATCTCAAACTGGTACACCTGTGACAAATTTACCCTCATCCGTTAGTTTTCATTAAATTTTACCTTTAAATTGCTGAGTTTGATGACACTTGACAGTTGACAGATGTACCGGTTTGGGTCTTCACTCCTCTGTTTGTCACAGATTTACCAATTTGTGATTTTTCCTGGTATAAATTCAATTTAACGGAGAGTAAATTTTTCACAAGTATATAATTTAAGTGGTCAAAAAATTAGTTTGGGATAAATTTGTCACGGGTTCGGGGTAAATTTGTCATGGTTGTACCAGTTTGGGATTTTTGGTGATCAAAAATTTAGTTCGAGGTAAATTTATCACGAACTATCAGTTTGGGATTTTTCATGGTATTAACTCAAAAAAATGAAATATTAGCATGTAAAAGTTTTGTTTTGATTTTTTAAGCAATTTTAACCGTCAAATATTACTTCTATATTAATTTTTCCAGACTCACGCTCCGCCCATCATAGCTCGATTCTTAGGCAAAACGATCGCGGCACGATCTCTACCGAACAAGCTCTGAATCGCCGTCGCTATTGATATTACCAACTATTTTTTTCGGTCGATGAAGTCGTTCGAACCTCGAAAAAGGGTATCACGTGACATGCGTCCTCGCTGTACATAACTTGTTTAAGAAGACAACCAGAAATTTGTTGCGATTTCAATAGTGTCGGAATCGACCAAACTTCCCATGATTCGTAAAAAAATACTACAAGACATTTTGGGACCAGTCCGAAGGCTTCTTTATTATATCGGTCCTTGAAATTGAATACCGTGTCCGGGCCAATTGATTCAGTCGGCTTGACCCCAACATGGGTCCGATTTGGACGGACGGACGTGGCCTACGACTCCTTTGGCTATAGGTTGACTGTTCCCTTTTTTATACTTTATTGCAATTAAGTATATAATAAGGCGAAAGATAGATTTTGGGGATTTTTTATATATATTTCGATACGTATAGAAAAGAGTACACGGGCTTTAGTAGGCGACTATTTCAGGTAACGTATATCGATCAAGATATGCACATTCAAAAAGGAGATACGCGCGCAATCTCCAGAGATACATGGAATCAACGGAATTATCGAATATTTCCCGATCTGATTTGCAGCAGAAAACGACGTGTGGGCGGCATTCTCGATTCTAAATTTCGAGGTCAAAGGGAGCTTTAGGACCGGGTTACGACATTTTGATCCGGTGAGTATTTGCCTACTTTCCATGCAAGGCTCCACCGAAATATTTCGATAATGTCATAAAGTTTAGTCATTTCATTTAAATGCATGTGCAACCAGCCCACATTTTTATGCCAACCATATCTTGAAAGGTAATTGAATCGCCGGTGTTCTTGTTGCTTCCTCGGGGGGGAATCTTTGGGTACCTTTTCTGACCGCACTAACTTGCGCTCGTACTTGCAAAAACAGTTGCGCACAACTTTGTGGCAAGAAAAAGTGGGAGTATGGCCTTTTTGGGTCGGCGGCAAAAGTAAAAGAAACGCTGAGGGCCGCTGAAAAATTAGACATTTGACGATTTGGTCCCGTCTGAAAATGAATAAAAATTGAATTTTTACGGCATAATGAAGCTTGTCGAAAAAGATGAAGGAAGATTTCGATTTGTATTTGGAAAGAAGGTGAGGTTTTAAAGGGATCGCGTGAATTCGCGATTGAAGGTGCTAGATTCGTGATTGACTTACTTTTGAATGGCAATTTTTCCCTCGATCGATATCGGCGGGGAGAAAATTGTCCGATCAGTCCTGATCCTATTGGTGCGGGCACCAATTCAATCATAATTTTTTTTAAATTTTGTCAATTTAGTCATAACCCTTTACGCGGAATTCCGATGTAACTCTTCCGGCCAATTTTTGCCAGAAAATCGCTGACGCGGCGGTGTGCCGCGTTGAACAATTGGCAATGATTGGACCACCGCCAGTGATATTCGACGAAAATTGATTAAAAAAAAAGATAATATTGGAATTTCGCGTAAAGGTTTGTGACTAAATTGATAAAATTGAAAAATTTATGATCGAATTGGTATCCGTACAACATATTGAGGACTGATTGGGCAATCTTGCCCCGGTACTGCAAAGCAAACTATTAAATCTCTCTTTTAAAATGGCCGTGCTAAATAACATTATTATTCGCAATCCCTTTTTGGACAAGGGTGCTTTTATTGACTTTTTGTATAATTCGGTAGAGAGTGCTCTATTATGACGGTCAGGTCAACATGTAGCGGCCAGTCCCACTTTGAACATGTCCACGGTTTTGAACGAGTGCTATGGCCTAGTTTTTCAAACCATGCTCTCTTTAGATTAGTTTCCACCTCCGTATCCAAAGCGTGTACACCATGCACATTTTCTAACTTAAAGTATGTATTTCATCGCACCCATATTGATTAACCCCCTTTAGCATCACGTGATATCCATCGTCTTTTAGGACTTTTTTTTTTTGGGTCGGAATCTTTTAGAAAACTTGATGAGGAAAAAATTGTCCAAAAAGTTCTAAACCTATTGCATTTTTGTAAATTCTGTCATAAACCGTTTAATTATGTTAATTGAGGCATAAACCTTTTGACATTTTGCCAATTGAGTCCATCCGGTCAATTTTGATCGGAAATCGTTGACGTGGATGCCAGATGTCCTATGTGGTACGGTGTACTAGTTTGAGATTTTTCATGGTATTAACTATATGAATTTTTCTCTTTTGGACGAGCTTCGCCCTCAATGCACACTTGTGTGTTATCTCTTTCCAGTTCTTTTCTTGTTTGATAAATTATGGGCACGAGCGCATATTCATGATTATCCGAAAGATCTATGACAATGCAAACCTGATGAACCGGTTAATTTCAGGCCTTCTGCACGCGCATGTGGCTCTAACCAAAGCATGCAGTCAATGAGATCTAAACAAGCAACCTCCAATTCCTTGAACTGGAAATCATCCTCCGACGCCCTAACCGACTGAGCTAATCCCGAGGAATCCTCGTCTCAATTCTTTAGGACTTCCCCCTACAAACAAAACTTGATGAAGATTGTACTCGAGCGATGATCTTTTCTGGCGCACAATCACAAGTATCAGTTTCCAATCAAGTGCTGTTGACGCATCCGGTTTCTTGAATTGGTCTCTTCGTCCCCGTGGTCGCGGACAAGAATGCGATCTGACCAGTATCGAACCACGATTCCCCACCCCCCAAGAAGTGCGTGGGATTAGTTATGGACGCAGACATTTCCCTTCCCCCATCCTGCTATCTCTTTGACATCTTCGTGAGCTAAACCACAAAAAAAAAAAAAAAAAATTCCATCAAATTGCCAAGATCTGTTCACTAATTATATTGTCCTTACAAAGCTCTGGCTCCAAGTTCTTTGGCCCTACAATTTCAAATCCTGAAGTTCCACAGAATCCATTCGGTTAATTCGATGGAGTGGCGAGTCCCATTCATGAAAATTTCGTGGTCTGTGTTCACCATGTCCTTATTTAGAGATATCTCCAGCCTCGTGGCTCTAGACAAGACG